AATCCAGTTTAGAAGATTAGTGGGGAAACCAATTAAAGAAAGCTTGTGAATGAGCAAAGAATGGTTCACGGAGTCGAAAGCCTTGCTAAAATCCGTGAAAATTACGTCTGTTTGCAGGGAGCTTTGAAATCCTCGGTTAATTGCAGAAGAGAACTCGAGAAGGTTTGTCAATGTTGATCGATATTTAAAAAATCCGTGTTGCGATGGAGATATCAGACTACTGCATAGGTGTTGCAATTGCCTGGTAATAAGGAACTCAAGCAGCTTTGGAATGGCGGAAAGCTTAGCAATACCTCGGTAGTTCTCAATGTGAGATCTTGAACCCTTTTTGTGAAGCGGAATGATATAGGATTCGTTCCAAATCACTGGAAGACAGGACCGTTCAAATGATAGGTTGAAAAGATATGTCAACGGTTTGCATAAGAACTGGGCACAGTGTTTTAAAATACAACTTGGTACCTTGTCTGGACCCGCCGAGAATGATATGTCAATCGTTGACAAACCTTCTAGAACATCACTTTCCTCAAAGAAGGGCAGAAAAATGCTGTTGGCATAAGGTAAATGGTAGGGATACGGAGTAGATGCATGGTAGATATGTGACGAGTACGTTGATTGGAAGAAGGTGGCAAATAAATTTGCAATACCAGCAGCAGAAGATTCAGATTTGTTTTGATAATGGAGGGATGGAGGAAATGCATTGCACTTACGTTTAGAATTAACGAACGAGTAGAATTTTTTTGGATCACAACGAAAATGTTTACTACATCGGGAAAGGTATTGATTATAAAAAAGACTATTAACAGTGGGAATGAACAGCGGAGGAATATTGGGCGAAGACAACATAGACCATATCTGATACTTTTTATGAGCCTAGTTTTCTATCTTTAAATAGACAAATTCTTGGAGAACCAAGGAGGTTTTGACGACAAAGATTTGATGACAGGAACATATATATTAAGGGCGTCGTTAATAGTTTCATAGAACGAGTTGACTGTTTCGTCAATGTTCGGGAACACGTGGAGAAAGACCATTAATGGCGAGGGTGAAGATTTAGCTCAGCAAAATTAGTTTTCCAAACACTGTATGCGGCTGGGTGCCATGGGATTGGCAGCGCAACTGGATCGGACACACTCAAGGGATATGGCTAAAGTTGGATGGTAGGGGCTCAGGAAGTGATACTGGACTTACTCTGGAGACCGTAGCAAGAGCAGCATCAGAAACAAACTAAGGTCAAGGAGTCTGTCCCTACTATTTCTTATGGAATTAATTTGAACAAGAGAGACATCGGTAAGCCCGTCAATAAAATCGTTGTGGTAATTTGGTAGCAACAGGTTAGACTCATCACTAGGCAGCCAAGAAAGAAGTGGTAAGTTAAAATCACCCATGACAATAATATGATCGTTGCAACCTAAAGTAGATACAATAGTCTGAATTGCAGAAAGGTGATAAGAGTAAATCTCAGCATCTGATTTGGGAGGAATGTAAGAGCAAGTCAAATAGATCGATACCGATCCAACACAAACTTTGACTGCAATGAATTCAATGCCATAGATATTGTTGAATAGGAACCACTCGGATGAGAAACCCGTTTTCAAAGCAATCAGAACCCCACCAGCAAAAGATGGACGGTCCAATCTATATGTGATAAACTTTGGAACGAAAATTTCATGATCATAGACGGAGGAGTTAAGCCAGGTTTCAGTTAAAGCGACAGCGTCAAAGTCAAAAGAGGAACTATTCGTATGTATTTGACACAATTTGCCTAACAGTTTTTAGTTTTTTTAGTTTTTAGTTTTTAGTTTTTTGAACAGCCAGGGCCAGTAATTGGGACTCTGGATTGAGTCTTTATGTAGGAACTCATGCATAATTGTATGCTCAGGCCAAATAGACGGGTCGAGTGATCTGGATAGTAAAGAATCGGGAAGAAGAATCTTAAAGGAGGAAATATTGCGCTGATGTCTAAAAACGAATTTGGTCACAATTATATCATTAAGCAAGGCGTTAAGTCTAGAGCAAAGATGTTGTTTGACATCCTCTATTGTAGCCTCCGGTATAAGACGGGAGACAAAGATAGCCTTATGAGGTACCACTGCTCTTGGTTGAAGTCCCGAGCGAGAGAGAGAGAAGGTGGAACCACTCCCAAAAGAGATCTCGTGGCAAAAACGATGGCAGCGTCGGTAGCAACGGAAGGAACAGGAACAGTGACAGGAACGGTGGGGACATCATCAGCGGCCAGCACGTCCACACTGGGAGCAATCACAGCGGAGCCGACAATGATGGACGAAGTAACTGCATCATTGCTATTCGGTGTGAGAAACACCGGAGCGACTGAAGGCGGATTGACTAACGGCGAGGCATGACCGCTCGGAGGAGCAAAGAATTCCGATGTATGTAGATGAGAGGCAGGCGTTCCAACTCCAATAGGTTGCAAGAGGTTGTTGTTATCAGTATGAGGGATTTTCCGTCTAAGAGATTCACTCAAGAGTTTGAGGCCAAGGAATTGTGTTTCCTTGTCGTTGAGAGCGATAAATTGCTTCCTGACATCCTGAAAACCAGTACGTGTCTGTTTCATAAAAGTGCGCATTTCGGCCTCAATCTCACGGCAGGCCAAACATGACCAAGTCAGACCCATGCGTTTTGAGATGAGATCGTGTAGACGTCCAAAATTACCCCCACCAGCACATTTTATATGGGCGACATTGTCGCACAGCCAGCAGCAGAGGAATGAATCGCCGACTAAGTTGCCTCCAAATTCGCATTTCTTTGCACTTCAGACAAGAGCCATTTTTGACAGCAGTTGAATCACTGTGCTCGAAGAAAGACGCAAAGTGGGAGCGCAAGCGATATAAGAGTGCAGGCAGCAGAGCGAGCGACGATCAGCAGCAGCGGCAGACGATCCAGCGAAGTGACGAAAACAAATGGTGAAGCTCACGAAACAGAGACACCGAGAGAGCAATTCAAGAAGATGCAGATGCAGGCGAAGTCCAGTGAGAGTGAGAGCAAGAGAGCTTGCACTTATGCTCTCCAGAGCGTGTGTTGATAGGCGATGTAACGGATGGAGTGCACGCACAGTGAGCGCAGAGAGCAATGATCCAAAGCGGAATGGATAAAAGCACTAACAAATTGCTTGCGCACGTCTGATACGCGTTCGAAATACAAAGTTATTATTAACTCAATTGTTAAACAGCGAAACACAGAATAATTGGCACAAAAAAGGACCAATTATGATGAGTTTAAGATGTACACGATTTGTTGTAATTAATATTGAAATTAAATTGGCAAAAAGGCAAAAAATGCAGGAGCGAGGTGAAAAGACGACCGGCTTAAGCAAGAGCAAGCGTAGGGCTTTTTGCCTTAGGCCACCTAATAGGTGATGGTGGGATTAGAACAGATCAAGAGAAGATCGGAGCCATTTCAGAGTTTCCATTGCCCAAGAACTTAAAGGGATTAAGGAGTTTCATGGGACTATGTGGATGGTATCGCAAGTTCGTACCGAATTTCGCATCTCTGTCATCCCCTTTGACCGACGTAATGACGACGAAGAGGAAGTTCTGTCTTACGGCGGAAGCATTAGTAGCCTTCGATGAATTAAAACGCTGTCTAGGGAAAACACCCGTGTTACGAAGCCTAGATTTTGGGAAACCGTTTTACATACACTGTGACGCAAGTTAAACTGGGTTAGGAGGAGTACTAGTACAGCTATCTGCAGAAGGTGACGAATGTCCCATCGCTTTTGTTTCAAAAAAACTGAACAAAGCACAACGGAATTATACAGTGACGGAACAAGAATGTTTGGCCGCGATTGTGTGTCTGAAGAACTTCAGAGCTTACGTTGAGGGACACGAGTTTACGATAATAACACTACTCGACAAAACAGAACTTTTTTTTTCCTCAAGGATCCAAACCGACTTTTTCTGATAGATATGGGGCTTTAAAATTTGTTAAAGAATTATGGTTTTTTTTCTATGGCAGAACTTTTTTTTTTAAGAATTTTTGAAGTCTTGTGACGCCCAGCCCAGCAGCACCAAGCGTCACAATAACAGCAGCATATTCCTCAATATTATTTCATTACAGTTAACATTTATAAACATTTACCTAGATCTATAAGAGAAAAATCAATGAAGATTTAGTTTATTAAATATAAAACAAAAACAAAAACAGATCTCACGACTTTTAAATCTTCGCGCCAACAGTGTGACCAGCGATCATCATAAACGGCCACACTCCAACATACAAATCCACGCGCCAACAGTGTGCCCAGCCCTCAGAACCAAACGGCCACACTAGCAGCTGATCGTGACAACAACCTAGTGCCAAAGAAGGGAGCCAACAGCTGACTCTTGGCACTAACCATACAGTATATAGATGTGCCAGTTCATACAACGAAAGGGGCGCAGCTGAGGTTTCTGTCCCAGGACCCCCAGGTCTTCGGCTAGGGCGCTGGGACCATTCGGCTGTGGGTCGTGGGCCTGAGACGTTCGGCATTTTTTCGACATGTTCGATTCATGACGAGATGCGAAAGCAAGCCGAGAATTGCAAGTGTGTGTGTGTACGCAGGCACGACCAAATATTTATGAATTTTTATTTTCCGAAACCGTTTTGAGTTTGTTTTGAGTATCGTTTCCAGGTTACGTTAATGTGTGTGTGTGTCATGTCCCTCTAGTACCAGGCAACAAGTTCGGTACCGGTGCCGAACTAGCTACCATTCTCATGTCCCTAGTTCAGCGGAGAATTTAACACACGCATGTCCTAGGGCGTAACCACCCCTGGTTCCCGATCGATTACCCTTCGACTACCACTAGCTAGTTGCTTATGAGCTAGTTCCGACCTAGTTACCAGTAGATCGTCAGCAACTAGTTCCCGATCGATTACCCTTCGATTACCAGTAGCTGGTTGACCAGCAGCTTTCTGGCTTTATAATAAATAAATTAAATACAAAATTGTGTTATATGAATGTTTAATTCAAAATTCTTTCAAAATTCAAACTTAAAATATATATTAAAATCTAGCCTAGCCTAAACAGATTCTAACTCATTTTTTGGTTTGGTACACCTTTGCTTGAACACTCGTTTTTTCACCCTCTGCATCGCTTTGCGCATCAGCATTTCTGGTGCTTCGTCTCCAGGCGGAATACATTCTGTAATAATTATATATTTAATTTAATTAAAATATAATAAACACTATTAGTGTACTTTACCTAGCAAAGCTCCATAAAACTCCGAGTGGCTCCTGAGGGCTTTCTTCCCTTGTACTCCATCCACATTATACGCCAGTACGATTTCGTCACTAAAATAAATTTTAAGTTGACGAGCACTCCGGCTGGCTGTAAAATGGATTTTATTGTTGAATCTGGAATCATTCATACAATGCAGAATGTAAGAAATGTGTAATTGGTTCAAATTAGTCAAAGTTTAGCAACGATGGCACGTGGTAAGCCGATTTTCAACGAAATAAGAAGTTTAGTTATTGATTATTATAAATCGGGGAACACTTTTGGTGAAATAGCCAAGCAATTAAATCTGGCTAAGTCGTCCGTTCAAAGCATTGTAAACAATTTTAAGAAAAATGGCAATATTGAAAATAATATCGCAAATAGAGGCCGAAAATCGGTAATAACATCTCGTAACAAAAGAGCCCTGGCCACAATTGTGAAGTCTGATCGTCGACAAAGTTTGAGAAATTTAGCCTCTGATTGGTCTGATAAAATCGGAAAAAGTGTAAAGCGTGAATGGACGCGCCTGCAGTTGCGAGATATTGGATATAAGTTCTATAAAGTATGTATAGTGATTATATATGTTACATAATCAATAGCTTAAATTACTCTTAGGCCAACGAAAAACCATTGCTTACGCTTCGTCAAATGAAGAAGCGTTTAAAATGGTCTCGGGAACGGATGTCTTGGACTCAAAGGCAATGGAACACCATCATATTTAGCGATGAATCTAAATTTGATGTGTGTGTCGGTGATGCGCGAAGGAGAATCGTCCGTAACAAAACTGAAGCGTACCATAAAGACTGCCTGAAAAGGACAGTTAAGTGCCCTGCAAGCATAATGGTGTGGGGTTGTATGTCTGCCAAAGGGGTAGGACAACTGCACTTTATTGAGGGGATAGTTAACGCGGAAAAATACGTTAACATAGAAGAGAAAAGTTTGCTGCCATCAATACCAAAACTGGCTGACTGTGGTAAATATACATTTCAGCAGGATGGAGCATCATCTCATACTGCCAAACGAACCAAATCATGGCTGCAGTATAAGGAAATTGGGGTCTTAGATTGGCCATCAAATAGCCCAGACCTATGCCCAATCGAGAATATATGGGGCATAGTGAAAAGAAACCTAAAAAATGAGCCTCAAAGAACACTTTCTGACCTAAAAATAAAACGTCAAGAGATGTGGGACTCTATTTGAAAAGAACAATGCCAGAATTTCTTAAAATTTTTTTTTTTAAGCCTAGTACTCAGATCGAACCAGAAGGAACGTGTGAGTCGCTTCTGGGGACGCGAATCTACTTATACCCGTACTCAGTCAGTATATACATTTAAGAGCTTATAACTTTTTAGAATTTTAAAATTAAAAAAAAAAATTTTACAGTTTACATTTTTTTGCTACATCTGTTGATTATATCTACAATGTATATTTTACATCTAACATGTAGATTATAGATGTACCATTCATATTCCACATCTCCTCCGCTAGGGGTTGTTCGCGCACTGAACGCGCGGAGTGTGCGAGCGAGAAAGAGAATGAGTCTGCAGGGGGAGGCGGAGGAAGCAACTGAAAATTAATTTCCTCATTTTGTTATACCCGTCAAAAAAGAGTTAAGGGGTATTGTTTCGTCATGTCATCGTCTTCGTCAATGTTTTATGTTAAGATTATTTTTGAATTCTTGAAGTCTAGTGTAAGTAGGTTAGGGCAAGGCGGGAGCGCAATAAAAGCTCGCTCTTTCGCTCAAGGCGAATTCGCCCCGCTTTGCCACCGTAGGTTAGCTAGGCTTAGAACGAAATGTAATGACTTTTAGAATATAATCGTTGAAATTGAATTCGATCGAGCGCACGAGAACTTCGTTAGTCCCGCATTTTTTTAATAAACTCTACGCCACCCAAGTCTTTCGGTTTTTTTCATTTAGAAAAACTATTCTAAATTTTCATGGCGCCCCCGGGTGGACGTAAAGTATAAATTAAACGAGAAGGAACGTGTGAGTCGCTTCTAGCGACGCGACTCTACTCATACCCGTACTCAGTCAGCATATAAATTGTTGAGCTTATGATTTTTTAGAATTTTAGAATTTAAAAAAATAAAATTTTACATATTACATTTTATTTTTGCTACATTTGCTATCTACATCTACATATACAATGTATACTCTACATCTAACATGTAGATTGTACATGTACCATTTAGATTACACATCTCCTCTGCTGGGGGTTGCTCGCGCACTGAACGCGGCAGAGTGTGCGAGCGAGAAGGAAAATGAGTTGTGTTGTTGTCGGCAGGAGGGGGCAGGGGAAGCAACAGAAAATTTCTTCATTCTGGATATAATTATGATCCGATCTGATTCAGATTTGGCAATCTGGTAGATATGGGCATTCTCTACGATACTGCGTTTATCGTATCTTTAAAATTGTGCCTGCCCCAGATTTTCGTCCTTTGTGGGGGCGGGGCGAAATTGAATACACTTGTAGCAGTGTGATATCACATGAGTCTGGAAACCAATTTGGTTTCTCTAGCTTTTATAGTCTCTAAGATCCAGGCGCTCATCAAGACGGACAGAACACACCCGGACATGGCTATATCGACTCGGCTCTTGATGCTGATCAAGAATATATATACTTTATGGGGTCGGAAACGCTTCCTTCTCTGCGTTGCACACATCCACTTTTACCACAAATCTAATATACCCCTTAACTCTTTTTTGAGTACGGGTATAAAAAGGCAACAAATAAAAGTGACAGTGACACAGTTTGCATAAAGAAAGTTATAATAAATATAACTAGTTTATTATATTATAGAATAAAAGTGTCGTGTTTGTGTATCCAATATAAAAGCCTTGCCAAAACCATCGTGTCGGCCGCGCAATACCCTCACCGCCTATTGCTGATCGTTGCTGCTACCCTGCCGCCATACCTGCTGCTTCACCGTTGCTGCTACCCTGCCGATATACTTGCTGCTTCACCGTTGCTGGATACTGGTTACCTGCTGCTTCCCGAACAGACCCCGTTGCTGCAACCTAGAAGACAAATGGCCCCTTGTGATTGCACAGACTGCAAGAGGAAAGTGGCAGCTGGACTTAAAGATCCAAACGCAGAGCCTGAGGTATTTGTGAAAAAAATTGAAAGCTATATAAATACATATATAAATTGTTTTGTGCTGGAAAAATTGCACCTCGCTTTCAATTCTTGGCACAGACGTATGGTATAGTAGAGTTTGATTTGCATGCATTTAATTTATTAGTGCACATACATACATATGTATATAACACCACATAACACATACAAAAACCATACCATACTCTATTTGAACCGTATTTGGACGCACAATTATATACCCTCTAGTACCAGGCAACTAGTTCGGTACCGGTGCCGAACTAGCTACCATTCTCATGTCCCTAGTTCCGCTTCGTTTCCCCGACAATGTATTTCAGCGGAGAATTTAACACATGCATGTCCTAGGGCGTAACCACCCCTGGTTCCCGATCGATTACCCTACGATTACCAGTAGCTAGTTGCTTATGAGCTATTTCCGACCTAGTTACCAGTATATCGTCAGCAACTAGTTACCGATCGATTACCCTTCGACTACCAGTAGCTGGTTGCTTTGGCGCTGGGTACGGCCTAGTTACCAGTAGATCGTCAACAACTAGTTCCCGATCGATTACCCTTCGATTACCAGTAGCTGGTTGACCACCAGCTTTCTGGCTTTATAATAAATAAATTAAATACAAAATTGTGTTATATGAATGTTTAATTCAAAATTCTTTTAAAATTCAAACTTAAAATATATATTAAAATCTAGCCTAGCCTAAACAGATTCTAACTCATTTTTTGGTTTGGTACACCTTTGCTTGAACACTCGTTTTTTCACCCTCTGCATCGCTTTGCGCATCAGCATTTCTGGTGCTTCGTCTCCAGGCGGAATACATTCTGTAATAATTATATGTTTAATTTAATTAAAATATAATAAACACTAGTGTACTTTACCTAGCAAAGCTCCATAAAACTCCAATTGCTGATACAAATATTAATCTTTATTAGTCTTACCACGAACAACGGCATTTTCCTGCTGTAGATTTTCTTAAAGTACATATTTATTTCGATTTATTAATTAATATAATATCACATTTATCGTCTTACCACGAAAAAGAGAATTCTCCCGCTGTAGATTTCTGAAAGTATATAAATATTTCGATAATACAAAAAATGTTATATTAATACTTATTCGCCTTACCATGAAAAAGAGCATTCTCCCGCTGTTGATTTTCTGAAGTTTATAATTAATTCGAGTTATTTTCCAATTTATATGGAACAAGTGATTTACCGACCTGACCCTTCCATTGCAGGTTTTACACTGCTCATTTTCTAAAAAAAATAGTATTAGTTTTGTTTAATATAAAATACAAAAATACTTACCATTGCTTGACATGGTGAAACGGCTAATTTTTCTAGGTGATGCCATATTTCGTTATTAATTTTTTTGCTAAAATAAACAGATTTATATATATATATATATATATTTTTTTTTGGTTTGCGGACCATGGTAATTAGGTGAATCTTCTAAAGATACCCTTTAAAGCCGACGATAAAGGGCATGCCCGATTCGTGTTGAAAAAACACGCCTACGGACTAAACGCCCCCAATATAAATCTGTTTTTATTTAGGTACTGACAACATATTTAAATTTAAATGCAATGATGAAGCAATGGAATGACTAAAATATTTCCCTCATACGGTAAACCTACACCTTTATTTTACAATTCTACAAATTCAAACCTTTCCTCTATTGCTATGGTTTCCCTATTAACTAAAACTATTCCTAGTCCGATTGAGCTTATAGGTTCCTCATAAAAGCTTCTGATATTTGAAAGTCTTTTCCCTATAATAGCTCCTCCCTCATTTGCCGTAAACCCTGTCACAATAATTGGGATATTTCCATTAAAAAAAAAAAATATCAGGTTCCTTTTCTGATAAAACAAAATTATTAAAAAAGCACTTACTACCCACTATCCTAGGATTTTTCTGTACTTTTATTTCCATTCTGTTTTCACTAATTTTTCTAAATATTTGTTCTAGAATTTTACTAGGCTTTCGGACACATTTTTTTTAAAGTTTGTAAATAGTTTTCAAACGCATACGAAGAGCCGGAAATCGGATCTCCGATTTGATCTACAGTCTCCTTTACGTGCAATAAACTGTGTACATTATAAGACACGCTATTTTCACCGAATACAATTGGAAAATTGTGAACAAAATGATCTAAAATGCGTTGACAAGTTTCCTTATTGTACTGTAGCTTAGAACTGCATAGCATTCTATATGAGCAATGAAGTGACATAAACTCATAATAAAAGTCGTCACTGACTTCGTTTTTGAAGGCAATGATTCCAGTGTACAGCAAAAATTGTCTAAACTCCGTGGCCTTCCAGTTACACAATTCATCTAAAGATCTAGGCCTACGCGCAAACTCTCTGGGAATAAATTGTTTTTAGGGACACTAGCTTTTCTAAATGCGTTCTCTGGACCTTTCGAAATTTTTACTACTAACTTATTATTGACAACCTTAAGAACACTTACGCATCACTCCTTGCTTCTAAATGCATGAGAATCAAAGGGAATCTGTGACACCATGGAAATGTTAATTTCTTCTAATATTGACCTACAATTTAAATACTGACTGCTATGATGACAAGGATATCTTCTATGCGCAAAATCTTCATTGGTAATTAAAACTCCTGAAGTAGTACTATAGGTCAAAATCCTGTCTACCTTTCTGGCTATCTGTGTACATTTGGCGCACCCGTACTAAGGAGTGCCTGCGGTGCCACTAATAACTGCTCTTGCTGGAGCATCGCAAACTACGGCCCTAATAACAATATTTATAGGTCTGCCACAAATGGATAGACCGCCATTCTTTAATTCTTTAAATTCTAAACAAAATTTTGCTAAAAACTGCTCACAGCTATGGGGCTTACTTTTTCCTAAAAATGTTCCAACTGGAAACCCTGGAACATTTGGAAAATTGTTGACTCTAACTAATACGGGCCATAGCTGTGTCCTTGAACTTCTGAATAATGGAAGTCCATCAATATTTAGCTCTTCCATTATTTGAACATTCTGAAAATGGCGTTGAAGCTGCCAAGCTACGAGCCCCGACCACTATTAATTCGTACGGCAAGCTTTTTTAGCCATATGCAATGTTTAACAGACGATATTTTCAATACTAATGTAGATAACACATGCGAACTTAGTTTTCTCTGAAAGATACTTTATTCTCTTAACCTTAGAAACAAAAAGTTTTGTTGTACCTCAACAACAACAATAATAACAAACATTTCTTTGAATGCTTTGCTTAACTGATAAGAAAAATATCAGCTAGTGTCCCTAAAAAAAATTTATTCCCAGAGAGTTTGCGCGTAGGCCTAGATCTTTAGATGAATTGTGTAACTGTAAGGCCACGGAGTTTAGACAATTTTTGCTGTACACCGGAATCATTGCCTTCAAAAACGAAGTCAGTGACGACTTTTATTATGAGTTTATGTTACTTCATTGCTCATATAGAATGTTATGCAGTACAATACAATAAGGAAACTTGTCAACGCATTTTAGATCATTTTGTTCACAATTTTCCAATTGTATTCGGTGAAAATAGCGTGTCTTATAATGTACACAGTTTATTGCACGTAAAGGAGACTGTAGATCAAATCGGAGATCCGATTTCCGGCTCTTCGTATGCGTTTGAAAATTATTTACAAACTTAAAAAAAATGTGTTCGAAAGCCTAGCAAGTCTTGAACAAATATTTAGAATAATTAGTGAAAACAGAATGGAAATAAAAGTACAGAAAAATCCTAGGATAGTGGGTAGTAAGTGCTTTTTTAATAATTTTGTGTTATCAGAAAAGGAACCTGATAGTTTTGATAATATCCCAATTATTGTGACAGGGTTTACGGCAAATGAGGGAGGAGCTGTTATAGGGAAAAGACTTTCAAATATCAGAATCTTTTATGAGGAACCTATAAACTCAATCGGACTAGGAATAGTTTTAGTTAATAGGGAAACCATAGCAATAGAGGAAAGGTTTGAATTTGTAGATTTGCAAAATAAAGGTGTAGGTTTACCGTATGAGGGAAATATTTTAGTCATTCCATTGCTTCATCATTGTATTTAAATTTAAATATGTTGTCAGTACCTAAATAAAAACAGATTTATATTGGGGGCGTTTAGTCCGTAGGCGTGTTTTTTCAACACGAATCGGGCATGCCCTTTATCGTCGGCTTTAAAGGGTATCTTTAGAAGATTCACCTAATTACCATGGTCCGCAAACCAAAAAAAAAAAAAATATATATATATATATAAATCTGTTTATTTTAGCAAAAAAATTAATAACGAAATATGGCATCACCTAGAAAAATTAGCCGTTTCACCATGTCAAGCAATGGTAAGTATTTTTGTATTTTATATTAAACAAAACTAATACTATTTTTTTTAGAAAATGAGCAGTGTAAAACCTACAAGCAAATTTTGGAAGAGGTCAAGAAGTCGACAGGTAAATACAAACTTTGTTTCCATATAAAATTGGAATAAATAACTCGAATTAATTATAAACTTTCAGAAAATCAACAGCGGGAGAATGCTCTTTTTCATGGTAAGGCGAATAAGTATTAATATAACATTTTTTGTATTATCGAAATATTTATATACTTTCAGAAAATCTACAGCGGGAGAATGCTCTTTTTCGTGGTAAGACGATAAATGTGATATTATATTAATTAATAAATCGAAATAAATATGTACTTTCAGAAAATCTACAGCAGGAAAATGCCGTTGTTCGTGGTAAGACTAATAAAGATTAATATTTGTATCAGCAAATTATCCGGAGGGGGGGGGGCGCCTCGGAGTTTTATGGAGCTTTGCTAGGTAAAGTACACTAGTGTTTATTATATTTTAATTAAATTAAACATATAATTATTACAGAATGTATTCCGCCTGGAGACGAAGCACCAGAAATGCTGATGCGCAAAGCGATGCAGAGGGTGAAAAAACGAGTGTTCAAGCAAAGGTGTACCAAACCAAAAAATGAGTTAGAATCTGTTTAGGCTAGGCTAGATTTTAATATATATTTTAAGTTTGAATTTTAAAAGAATTTTGAATTAAACATTCATATAACACAATTTTGTATTTAATTTATTTATTATAAAGCCAGAAAGCTGCTGGTCAACCAGCTACGGGAGAGCGGAGGCCCGGGCGGGGCCGGGGGCGGGGGGGGCGACCGGTACCGAACTAGCTGCCTGGTACTAGAGGGACATGACACACACACACATTTACGTAACCTGGAAACGATACTCAAAACAAACTCAAAACTGTTTCGGAAAATAAGAATTCATAAATATTTTGTCGTGTCTGCGTACACACACACACTTGCAATTATCGGCTTGCTTTCACATCTCGTCATGAATCGAACATGTCGAAAAAATGCCGAACGTCTCAGGGCCACGACCAGAACGTCTCAGCACCACAGCCGAATGGTCCCAGCACCCTAGCCAAAGACCCGGGGGTGCTGGGACAGAAACCTCAGCTGCGCCCCTTTCGTTGTATTAACTGGCACATCTATATACTGTATGGTTAGTGCTCTTGGCAATAAAAGCAGCCACGCCAAAGCCATCAGCACTAATTATTTGAACTACTTGAACTACTTGAATTATTTGGACTACTTGAACTATTGGAAACATTGTGAAACAAAAAAAGAAAACATTCAAAATAAACCGAAAGCCGTATGTGGAGAGTGAGAGCAAAAACCAATTATAGAATCGGAATAAAAGCAAAAAACATTAATAACACGAGCATTAACGGCCAACGGAACTCAGGGTCTTTTTCAAGACCGGAGGATGGCCCAAAGGGAGCGGCAAGGGACAAGTCCCGAGCCGAAATTTTCACCTTTTACAACAAAACCAATACCGATGGGCAGCCCAACATTGAGAGGCGCATTATAATAAGAAAAAAAAATACAAAATAAAAACAACAGCGAGCAGCAGCAAAATAATACTACAATTGAGGTGGCTGTCGGATACCAACCAATTAACAGCGATACTAAAAAACGAAAAGGGCGAAATAGCGTCCACCTACACATCGAAAACGGAACAGCGGCGTCGGAGCATCGGCGTCAATATGATCGGGGCCGGAATGGGGGACGACGACGAGGAGGTTGGTGCGGCCCATGCACAGCCCCAAGACCATTCTCAGGCTCCTGATATCAACGACGCTACCCAAGTGGTAAAAATTAAAGACTTAAACCAAGTATTCCAAGAACTAGAATGGGTAATGGGTTACATTTTACATTTTTTTGCTACATCTGTTATCTACATATACATATACAATGTAAATTCTACATCTAACATGTAGATTATAGATGCACCATTCATATTCTACATCTCCACCGCTAGGGGTTTCTCGCGCACTGAACGCGGCAGAGTGTGCGAGCGAGCAAGAGAATGAGTAACGTGTTTTTGGCAAGGGAGGCGGGGGGAAACAACAGATAATTAATTTCTTCATTTTGGCTATAATTATGATCCGATCTGATTCAGATTCGGCAATATGGTAGATATGGTCATTCTCTACGATAATGCGTTTTTAGTTTTATCGTATCTTTAAAAATGTGCCTGCCACAGATTTTCGTTCTTTGTGGGGGCGGAAGAGGGCGGGGCGAAATTTTGAAATATACTTGTAGCAGTGTGATATCACATGAGTCTGGAAACCAAATTTGGTTTCTCTAGCTCTTATAGTCTTTGAGATCCAGGCGCTCATCGAGACGGACAGACGGACAGACGGACGGACAGACGAACATGGCTATATCGACTCGGCTATTGATTGCTGATCAAGAATATATATACTTTATGGGGTCGGAAACGTTTCCTTCTCTGCGTTGCACACATCCACTTTTACCAAAAATCTAATATACCCCTTAACCCTTTTTTGAGTACGGGTATAAAAAACCATGAAAGCATTAGGCAATTACTAAACCTCAAGATATTACTAAACTGCCGCATAGCAGTAGAACCCCTGAAACCACATATAAACGCAATCGTCCAATGCCACAACTGTCAACGATTTTCACATATTGCAAGCAATTGCAAATTATCATACAGATGTGTAAAATGTTTGAACGAGCATAATCCAGGGCAATGCCCAATAAAAAAGACTGATAACACTACTCGACAAATCGAACTTTTTTTTCCTCAAGGATCCAACCGATTTTCTGATAGATGGGGCAATTTTTTTAAGATATGTTCTTTTTTTTAGGATTTTTTTTGCTTTTTTAGTAGTTCACATAGCTCTAGAACTACTTTTGGTTGTAAAGAACTTTGCTATTTTGAAAGATAATTAAAACAGCTAAGTTAAGCCCAAATACTAATATCATTCGGAGCATGTGTTGTGGGGTTTTGACTTTAAAATCAGAAGGAAGGTTGACAAATCTTTGCGGCCTGCAATCAAGCAAACGACAAGGGGCATGGTACCGAGGCTTGTTCCCATGGGTGAACCCCGGTTTTGTTATTTTTTTCATATTTTAGGGAAATGAGTGATAAACGAGCCAATTAACGCACCTACACAATTTTCTTTTCTGTTTTTCTTGTCCACAAATCTTCTGTTGTGGGTTTTCTTTGGGTTTTTTTTCTCTTGGGTGACTATAATCCGTCCCGAAGACATTAAATGTGTTAACTGCAAGGGGCAGCACAAAGCTAATGCCAAAATCTGTCCGATTCGGCAGACAACGCTTACAAAACTTCAGGAACTTAGAACTCTGAAAAGAAACAACAATAACAGGTATAATAATAATAATAGGGGTGGCCAAAACGCAATACCAAATCATGATTTGAGCAAATCAGAATGTCAATCAATTATTAAAAATAACCAAACTTTTGCATCATTATTTAATAACAATAAATTTAAATCAAATCAAACAAGATCACCAATCACCTCCAATCCTGTATTGGAGGCACACATCAATAAACTGCGGGAGAGGCCAAAGACACAACAAGAAAGACCCCATCCCACAAACATAAACAACCACACAATAACAATTGATAGCTTCAATAATGATGTACAAGATATATTCGGCAGAAATATCTTTGATTGTATCGCAATAATGAGGTCAGTGACAACAAAATACTCGGAGTTTTCCTCCCTTAAAGGAGAGGATCTTCGCAGTGTAAAGCAATCAGTCATACTCGACTTCCTAATACAGATATCCACCGTGTCCCCATCCTCATTGGCCTCCTCAATATGAGCACACTAAAATGTATTTTTCAAAACGTAAACTCGCTGCACTCTCTGCACAAGAGAGCTGAACTTCAGCAATTTTTAAATACACACAAGCCAAGCATAATGTTCATAGCGGAGCATAGGGTTATTGATTCAAAATGAAATACATCTAAATAACTATCAATTTGTTCGCCAAGAGCAATTAGCAACACAAATCAAAGTCAATAACAATAACAATAAGAAAAGAGGCGGCTCTGTTGCAATTTGCATTCGGAAAAATATCAAATATACACCAATCAACATTAAACCTCTCAAACACCTTGAAGCAATTGCCATCGAAATAAAATATCAAACCAATCAAGGCCAAAAGGCAATCATAGCAATTTCACTATACAAACGACCAAAAGATCAGCTTCTTAGCACAGATCTCAAAAAGCTCTCTAAATCAATACATAGATATCATCGTTCGTTCTCTTTCGTAGTGACCAGACGTGTTTTTGTTTTGCGCTCCGCATTTTCCTTTTGTTTAACTTAAACAGCCGGTGTTTTTTATCTATAATTTAACTCTCTTACTAACTTACATTAAAATCATTCTTTTACCGCGGGTGCATGAATCGACAGAGGCGTTCCTGGCCCGAGAGTTAGAAGAGTTCGCCAAGCTCAAGGGAGTGTCTAATGTGGCGGTGCACACGATCACTATGAGTGACGGGCAGCCGATTAAACAGAGATACTACCCCAAGAACCCCAAAATGCAGGCGGAACTCAACCAGAAGGTGGCCGAGTTGCTGGCATTGGGATGTATTGAGCCGTCCAAGAGCCCGTATAGCTCTCCTATAGTGATGGTGAGGAAAAAGACCGGCCTGTGGAGGTTGTGTGTCGATTTTCGGTAGGTAAACGCAAAGTCGGTAAAAGATGCCTACCCAATGCCTAGGATCGACTACATTCTGGACCACCTACGGGAGGCACGATTCATTAGTATTCTGGACCTGAAGGACGGATATTGGCAAATTCCACTGGAGGAGTAGGCCAGTAGGCCAATCACGGCATTTACAGTACCCGGCAAGGGACTATACCAATAGAAGGTGAAGCCATTTGGTCTACACTCGGCGTCGGCCACGTTTCAGCGGGCTTTGGACCGGGTAATAGGACTAGAGATGATGCCACACGCATTCGCATATCAGGACGACATAAGTCATCGGACGAACGGAATGGGAGACTACAGGCCGCCAATCTGCGGCTAAACGCGGAAAAATACCAATTTTTCCGGAAGGAACTGAGGTACCTCGACCAAAAGGTGACAAGCAAAGGGATATGCACTGATCCAGAGAAGGTCGCAGCGATAGCTGAGCTAAAGCCACCCGCCAACGTGAAAGAGCTGCGTCAGTATTTGGGAGTAGCGTCCTGGTATCGGCGATTCGTACCAGGCTTCGCGACGTTGCAACCAACGCGTTGGTTCAACCGCTAACAGCACTGTTAAAGAAAAAGGCAGCTTGGGAATGGAATTCGGAACGACAAGAATCATTTGAGGCCGTAAGAAACTTGTTGGTGGCGGACCCTGTGTTAACATGCCCCGACTTC